ACCAAGAAAGCCGCAGGAGACACCTCCAAGTACTCGCTCGAACAATACCGAGCAAGCACAACTGCATGATAGTGCAAATCATGCAACGTCCACACGCTCTCGCAGCAATGCTCGCCGCCGCACCTACCAGCCCGAAATTATCTTCGACGATGGTACCGCGGAAACCTGTGACAATGCCTATGAGGCGTTCGTCCACGACATTGATACACCAGTGGAGGTCCTATTGCAAGCCCATCAGACAGACACTCGTGGTCCGCGAAAGGTCATGATGAACGCAACCACATGGCGGTCACTATCCAAGTCGAATCAAGAGGCATGGGATAATATCTCAGAGCAGGGCAAGAAGAGTATCCTTGACTACACGGCTGACTTAGCTGTTCGACGTAGTCAGCACAACTCTGGGCAATCGCGCCCATCCCGCTCCGTCAACTCCCATGACTTCCTCGACGTGGGCAACACCACGCCACGAGCGGGCAATCTGGAAGTGTCCTCGCACCAAACCAAGTCCAACACGACGGACACCGACCTTTTGCAGCTCGCGTGCAACAAGACGCATTCAACGCCACCATCCTTCGCTGGTGACATCGCGTCCGTCCTATCACAGCCGCTCAATGTGGCTACACGCGAAGTACGAGTCCACGAGGTTGATCGCTCATCCTACGAATCCTACTCTCACGAACTGTTGTTCAGCGAGCCAGAGATTGATCCCGATTGGCAGCCCTTCGTATATCTCTCTGATTGATCCGAGGGCAACCAAACACCAACAACTCGTGAGACGACGACAATGCCGGTGGACCTCCTCAACGTACCCAATGAAGTGGACCCTTCGATGCCCGCACTCGATGACGGGGAAACAATCTTCTCACCTACCGCTCAGGATTTCTCACAGTTTGATTACGGTACCTCCCAATACGAGGCCATCGATACGAGTATCCAACAGCAAATCCAAGAGGATCACACAGGGTACCACACCTTCAAACCACAGGTTCTATGCGATGAACCCTTTGACCTCTGGACACATCAACGCGTCTCCTTAGCCCTGGAAGCACAGTTGGAATCTCCGACACCACCTGAGATTGGCCCACACATGGCACCACCGTACCATCTGGTTCAGCAACCTGATGATACACTCTTGCTTCGTCAGCGTCAAGCTGCCACCGAGCATGACCAGCAGCTCATGGCCAATCTTCCAGCGGAAGAAGCGCCCGTTGTGGAGGCACCTATTGCGGAGGCACCCGCTGATGATCCAGAGTCTCTAGCGCTGGATATTTCCCAACTCCAACTCGATCCTTCCTCTGATGTTGGAGCCGATGTTGACACCAACCTCAGTTTCACGACACCAAGCGAGACTGACTTCCCGGAAGACCCCTCCATGCGCCACATCAAAGGCACCCATGGAATCCGCAAGGCTGTCAAACAACGCCAAGTACTCAAACAAACCCCTGCTGCACTCGCACCCGCGGCAATGACGACGACCACTGCCGCATCTGCCCCCGCAGCATCAACGACATCACCGGTCTCAGAACCGACATCCCAACCTGATACATCAACATTGAAAGCGGAGGCACTATCGAACATGGAATGAAATCCACCCCCATTGACCTTGCTAGTGTCCCAACTAGATATATCACCATTGAACAGAGTAGCACTCCCAAACATAAAATGCATGGGTGTGACCTTGCTTGTGTCCCAACTAGACAAATCACCATTGAAAATGGTTGCACCATAGAACATGTTACAGGTGTTCTATGGTGCTACGGCCTTCAACCAAGACTTGAATACCTGGGGCACCAAAATCACAGATACATCAGCGTACGCAACAGACATGTTTTTTGGAAAAGCTGAGACTTGTACAGTAGTGGACATTGGCAAGGTGGCAAAAGAGAGGTGCCGGCAGAGGTATTCCAAGGTCTCGCCAAAAATTCGGGCTCAAGAAGGATGACAAGGGTGGGCATGGTCTAGCCAGGTGACAACCTTGCACAAGTTTGGACGCTGCTTGTCGGTGAATCTGGACACCATGTGAGCGACACCAGACGAGGAATATTGTTGCCTTTCCATCCCCAGATAGAGTCATCACAATAGCGCCTGGATCGTTGTGGGAAAATGGTCCGATAGTGATGGCAGTGGATAAGCAACTCGATCTGCAGGTACGTGGAAGAATCATTTTCATTCAACGTTACAAATGCACGAGGTATGCCTCACCAAACCTACCGGGATCGCTCTTACTGTATGAATCAAAAATTGTCACTCCTAATAAAATATGCGTGTTGGTCTATTTGGTTGGTAGAAATCCACATTCTGCCCATTGCAACTACTTTATGCGCTATCAAACGAACGACCAAGACGACTTGTGCACACACAGGAAGATACATGCATGTGTGCCGGCACAGGAATCACCGCCAACAGACGTACTACACAGTGTAGCAAATAATACGGAGGGATGAATGAATCGAATCCAATACACCGGTGGGAGGATCCACTATCTTGGGATGTCGTGTAGCCTCCGGTTGGTTGGCCTGTCGCGTTACCAAAACTTGACGACCAACCTCTCCCGCGTCCGTAGAGATTTAAGCCTCGAACTCGTGTTGAAATCCGGAACGGGAAAGGACTCGACAGTGGTGTTTCCTCGTAATTAGCAGTAATGATAGATATGGTTTTCTCTTGTTTTCTGATACTGTAGAAACCCGTTGACTTACTCTGGTTCTTCAATTTGACTGTATGTCATGGGCCGAGTAATAGGAGAGAAATCCAAGATTGACCAACGACAGTGGTATGGGACGAGGAGCAGGATTTCTTTCGTCAAGCTTTCATCCGTGGTAGTACAGTATCCCGGCACCTCTACAATCAAGCCGACATCCATGCTTGATTCGACTTCCTTGTGCTGCGCTGGCTGCTCTCGCTTACCTCACATCGGATCGTTATGATGACCACAACCAAATACTATCAATCCAGACAGCTAGAGCTACGTACCGTAGCTAGCTACAGATTGCAGCCAATACCTTTCACACAGGAAAATGAGTACCGGCACAAGAATCACCGACGAATCACCAACCACACATGAGGAGATAAAAAAGAGGGATGCATCGGGATGGGAGAATCCACTCTCCTCTGTGCTTGTGCGTTGTCGTGTAGCCTCCTCCGGTTGACTGTTGCCATTCAATGGCTCGACAATGTTCAGTGCGGTGATAGGGCTTGAGTTACTATGGAATAGAGAGAGCTAAGATGAGGATGGGGACAGAGCTCGAAGGGAGGGCACCATGCAGGACCTCTGTGGAAACGTCATGCATGGCAAAATACTTAGGAGACGATACACCGAGGAATAGGAGACGATCGAAATGATTTAAGACACGAAAGCAATCGTCTCCTATATTTAGGAGACGATTCAGTAGGAGACATTCCAATTAGAAGACGTGCTACCGATCGTCTCCTAAATCCTTTTGATCGTCTCCTATTTAATGGATTTCGTCTCCTAAAAATAGGAGACGAAAAGGATCGTCTCTTAAATCTTTCGTCTCCTCTTAAATCGTCTCCTATTTTCAACGGATCGTCTCCTATTCTCAACGGATCGTCTCCTAAGTACACCATGTAAACTGTATGGTATCGTCTGCTAAATCTTTCGGATCGTCTCCTATTTCGAAACGATCGTCTCTTAAATGGAATGTCTCCTAATGAATCGTCTCCTAAATATAGGAGACGATTGCTTTCGTCTCCTAAATCATTTCGATCGTCTCCTAAGCCTCGATGTATCCTCTCTTAAGTAATTTGCCACGAATGACGTTTCCACAGAGGTCCTGGCAGTAGTGATGGGCAAATACACGTATTTTAAGTTTTGATACGTATAATACGTATAATACGTATAATACAGTATAATACTGTATTATACTGTATTAATCTATGGTCTGTCCGTCTTCCCATGCACATTATGTGGTGCATTCTACAGTTGGAAATAGTATCGACAACAAGATTGTGAAGATGCTGCTCTATTGCTATGTCAACTTGAGGCTTCTAAAGTCTCTTGAACCATCTGGGGATCAGTCGATGACGGCTTTTGCGGAGTTCTTACTGCTGATTTAGACCAGTTCTTGGTAGATCTAGGCCTTGATGAGGATGATGCAGCATCTGTAGCCAAGTCTAGTGGGCCTGGGGAGGGTAACTGGATAGCTAAGACCTCCAAAATTAGCAGTAGTAGTTAAATACGTATAATACGTATGTATTGGAGTTGGGGACCACGTATTATACGTGTATTATACGTATGTATCAATGGGTGTATCAAAGGGGTGCCCATCACTACCCGGCAGTCAAGCGCGCATGATCATTAAATTTTAAATTTGTCAAACTGATCACTCTGAACGGACATGCTCTGATTGGGTGCGAACCGTGGCAACCGTGCGATGCATTGACTGAGTCGAGTTTCCCAGGCGTCTCGACTGTCACTCTGTCACTGCACGGTTCAACCACCCTACCAGGTAGCTGTCACAGTACATAGTACCTGTACAGTACATCAGACAGGCCCTCGCTGCATGGCTTCTGTAGTCCCGCGCTCGATCCCGTGGTTCTGGGCCTGAAAAAATGAGGGATGGCACAATAATTAAGAATGGCATCGTCAACTCAGACATACTGACATTCGAGAATGTCGGATTTAGAAGCCATTCTGGAAAGTCGATAGTTAAACTGCAAAAGAGCCTTTTACCGACGAATGCAGACATTGTCCCAAATTTCGGGCATTGTCAGCCATTCGTGGACAATGATGACAGTGAAAAGACATTTTCGCACAGAGGTCGGGCATCTGCGATTAGGAGTCTGTTTCGAAAGACTATCTGACACATAAATCTATTTATAATCTCATGTCGATTTTTCCTTGCCACGGAAGGTCTGTGTATATAGGAGGCAGTCTACCTTCAATCCAAAAGGGGGAAACAAGCCTCACCGGTATTTACAACATTGCCTGCACGCGCCTGAACTACAACAAACAAAAGACCAAGTACTCAGAAGCAAAAACCATGCACTTTGCTCTCGCTATCACCCACAATCTTCAGTGCACAGTACCCAGCAGCATGCAAGCCAACAACCACAAACAAAAGGGCCCGCTGGGCTTGGAGGAGGACAGCCTTGGAGTAGTGGGCGTCAACAGCAGCAGCCGGACGGAGCTGGATTGCTTCCATCAAAACTGCTTCAACCGAACTGACGCCGAGGTGGACATCGAGAATCAAAATGGCGAGTCCATCAATAAGGAACCCCAAGGAGAAGACAGCGTCGACAGCAGCGGTAGCAATGGAGGAGATTCCATGTCTGCCAGAAGTACCCCCAGTCCAGAGGATGCTGATTTGGCTTTGGGCACCCCGGTGCTGCCATTGAAAGATGTCTACGACGAGAAAATCGAGGATGACTCTAACATGCTCGAAATAGAGGAAGAGTTTGCCAGTGACAGCTTCAATGAAGAGGAAGATCAAAGCAGTGTCAGCATCAATACAGGAAGGGAGGCAGCAATTCGCCAAAGTGTGTTTGACTTGGCTAGGGATCATTTCAAAAATGGAATCTTCCAGCGAATCTTGGCCCTGCTGGGTGTGTGCTTCAAATGCATCATGAAGAAACTGAAGGGTGGAGATTCTGAGGAGCAGGTAGATGCTGCCCTTGAGGCTGTTGATATCTTGGACCCATCTACCGGCAACCAACTGGCGTCTTCTCACTTGGGTCAAAATACAGGGATTGGCCAAAGTGGAACCAGTGGTGGAGGGGCATCGGGCACGGGAGGAGCTGGTGCCTCAACTAGTGCCAGTGTGGGAACTGCGTCTGGTGCAGGAGCAGCCCAGGCAACTGCAGTAGTCAGCCAAATGGCAACTCAGGCTGCAGTCAGTGCTGCTGGAGCCTCTGCCTCAGCAGCTTCCGCGGCAGGTAAGTTGTGTCTGTATGTCCAATATGATGCCGTCTTCTTTGGAGATCGCGACAATCCGTCTCCTCACCTGTTTTTTCGTCCTTTCTTTTCTTTCACACGAAAGTTGCAGCGACTGCCAGTATCACAACAACAATTGCCAGTGCTATTGCCTCTGCTAGTGTTGCATCCCAAATTGGGGTGACAGTTGGTGTCGCGGCTGTGGCAGCTGCTGCAGTGAGCAGTGGTGTGGTCATAACCCAAGAAGCCCGCTCAAATTCTACTGCTCCTGTGGTGAAAGGCTCAGATTTTGTACCACCATCCTGTTCGCTCACCTCCCAGATTAAGCAAGGTCTTGTGGAATTGAAAATTCAAGGCATGCCAGAGGATTCATTGCCGCAGCACAGAGAGAGCATAGAAGAGTAAGCATCCTCTGTGTTTTCCAGTTTTTTTTGTCGATGCTTTCAGTATACTTACCTCTACATGTACCGTTCCCCAGGATATTTCGAGACCTCTACAACAATATCACTGGAATGTGCTTGGATCCCTTCTCGCGGGTATTACACAAGGCTGAACTTCAAAATTGGAGTACAGAGGACAGTGTGGTTGTTATGGAAGATGTTTCACAACAGTTTGCAACTGGGACATCCAAAAATACAACTAATGGGACACTGACACAGGTGACTGTATCAGTCACCACAACATCTTGGCTGGCCACTATTGCCTGTGATGGATGTCCTGATTATGAGCCACTTTTCCAACTGCCTGAAGGGGGTGATGCAGGTCTTGGTGACGCTAAAACAAGTAGCAGCAACATCAACAGCAATAGCACAACCATCAAACCAGCCAATGTTTTAAGTGCTATGAGTGGCAGAAACACCAGTATGGCTCCCAGCCTGTCCAGGCGCTTGCAGCTACAGACAACAATTGAAGTATCCCAGTTCTTTCCGTTGTTTGCTGCCTCTTTTGGTTACAATATTGAACCAGTGCTGACACCATCAGGAGCTTCGCAATCGGATAGGAGAAATTCCATGCAGGTTGTTTTTGCCACCACCAAGACAGTCTCCCCTTCAGAAAATTCTGTAGAGCAGGCCGAGGTCATTGTCCTTTCCATAGGGCAAGATACAATTCAGCCATTCATTGAAACAGTTGAAATGAACCAAGGGACCATTATGACTCCTTTCATATCCAATGAGCTGTCATCGCTCTCTCAATGTCTCTCAGATGAGGTGGACCAAGAAGTTCACAAGGGAATGGCAAAAGTTTGTGATGACCTGATGCAGCTCATCACAGGTGAGAACAACGAAGACAGAGCACCCATAAATCCGGATGCCTTGGCTGCATGCCTGGAGACCCCAACCGACCCATCTTGCCAAGACATTCTGACCACTGCTCTAGAAACTGTTGCTAACAACAAAGTGGATTCTATGGGTGAAGCTTCACTCTCTGGGGAAGTCGATGAATCCGACATTTCTGGAAGCTTAGGTGAAGAACCAACTGGAAACATCCCCTCATCCATCACAGAGAATCTGGAAGAAGAAGTGCCCAACAAGATGCCAATTGTAGCTGGAACTTCTGATGGAGGAGCAAGTCCAGTTGCGGCAGGTATGCATCCTGTTGTAGGAATACTACCCTCGTCACAGGAAATATCAAGCCAGACAGGACCTGTTGGATCACCTGGCAGCCAGGAGTCTCATTCTCCAAACTCAAGTGTTCCAACAACTGCAGGCGGCCAATTGGAGTATCCTACTGCAGTTTTGGATATGGCTTCGAGCCCCTCTGGTTCAAGCCCCGTGGAAGATATCCATCCTACAGACCCAGCCAGTGTGCCACAAGCAAACCCATCTACAAACCCGAGCGCTTTTCCTTTACCAAGCGCATCTTTCCGGCCAACAGCGGTCCAACCAAGCACAGCTCCTTTGCCGGTCGATGACCCAACAGTTTTATACCCATCAATACCCAGTGCTGTTGTTCCCACCACAAGTCAAGCCTACAAACCTAGCTCCATCCAGGCACACCCAGAAATGAACCCATCATCAGTGGCGCCAAATGCGCCCCCCACTATGTTGGACTCACAGATAATTGCCAGTCCATCAGCTGTGCCACTTCCTGCTACATTAACTCCGAGCAAAGGTGGGACTCTGACACCAAGTACAGGGAGAACTCTGACACCAAGCACTGCGATAGGACTTCTGGCTTTTTCAAATAGAGAAGAAAGCTTCTCAACAGTGCTCCTTCCCCAAAATACCCCAGGTCCAGTTGCCACAGTCAGTTTGTCACCTGCTTCGGTGATTGGACTCAATTCCTTTTCCAACAATAACAAGAAGAGCAAGGCACCACCAGCACCATCAGCATCTTCTGCTCAGCGTGGAGATGCCAATCAATATCCAACAACACAACCGATTATTGTTCCAACAAAACTTCCCACACCACCACAATCATTACAAGGCACCGAGACACCCTCATCAATGCCAACAAGCAAAGCAACAATGGGGCCCTCTACATTGCTCACACAACAAGCAACATTCCAAGCAACAGCCCTGCCTACACTCCAGCCAACAGAGGAGCCAACACGTGAACCAACAACACAACCAAACCTCCAGCCAACAGAAGAACCAACCACACAGCCAACAGAAGAGCCAACGCTTCAACCAACAACAGAGCCAACGCTTCAACCAACACTCAATCCAACGGAAGAGCAATCTCCCTTTCCAACAGTTTCATCCGGAAGACCCAGTGGCAGTCCCACGAGTTCTCCTACCAATGGACCAAAAATGGGACCTTCACTGCCACCAATCCCCAATCCTACTCCTATGCCAGAAGCTCCTTCTGGTCAGCTCACTGCTAGCCCCACTGATGCACCCACTGGAACACCATCCATTGTTCCATCGCTGGCTCCAAGTATCACTTGCAATGATATATCTATTACAAATGAAAGGAACTATTATGTTTACTTTGCTGGTGATGTTACAACAATTTCTGATCAAGAGCTTGCAATAGCATTCTCCTCTGGCTACAATTCTCTTTCAAAGAATTCATGTGCAGAAGACCTCGATCTCGTTGTCCCAGCCAGGCGTTTCACAAGAAGAAGGCTCCAGCAATCATCATCAGCTGTGATTGAATTCTTTGTTCGAACTAGGCAGCTATCCATTGGGAGTCTATTTCCCACATCAGATGATTCCACAGCTTTCATGGGGGGTTTCAACAGTGGTATGCAAGGGAATGCAGCTGTAGCAATTAGAGTGAGTGACACTCTTGAAACAGGAACTCCCACAAGGTCTCCAATCACATCACCAACTGTTTCCCCCGCTGGATCCACCACTAAGCCAACCACAACATCACTAACAGATCTACCTACCAGAATGCCTACTTCTCTACCAACCATTACTCCCGATGCATTGAGTGTCAGTCCCACTCAGCCCCCCACAACAGCACCGGCAGTCCCACCCTTAAAGGCGCCTACAGGCACACCCTCCCCCATCCCAACTGTTACTCCCGGACCCCCAACCACAGCTCCTTCCATTGTGCCTATGTATACTGTATCTCCTACCAAAGCTCCCACCAATTCGCCCAACCAAGCCCCAACCTTGGCTCCAGTAATTGTGCCTACCGATACTGTTGGTCCTACCAAAGCTCCGACAAAACCGCCCAGCCAAGCCCCAACGGTGGCTTCTGGAACAGTGCCAGCTGTAGCTCCAACCAACGAGCCTAGCAAGGGGCCTACCAAAGCTCCTACAAGGGCACCAACTCATTCCCCCAGTACAAAAACAGGTTTAATACCAAGTGCAGCGCCCACCTCCAATCCAAGATTTACCAAGCAAGTCGCCAACTCAGTCAACAAGTATTGAACCAAGTTCTGGACCAAGTCAAAATCCCAGCGCAGCAAACAGTTTTGATCCAAGTTTTAGGCCAAGCAAGTCACCTAGTGCACCCAAGCTCTTCCCTAGAGCTTACCAAGAGAAAGTCCCAGTATGGCACCCATACAAATCCAAGTTTCAACCCAAGCTTGTTACCAAGCAAATCTCCTACCGGTAGTGTGAAACCTGCTAGCTCTGGAAGTCCAATATCGGCCGCCCCAAGCACCGGAAGTCCAATAACTACCGCCCCCAGCATCGGAAATCTCCAGCAACTGCAGCTCCAAGCGCTGGAAGTCCAATAACTGCCCCACCGGAATCCGAACTGCCGGTCCAACACTGGAAATCAGCAAGCGCCCAGAAAATCCAGCAACGGCTGCTCCAAGCACTGAAAGTCCAATATCGGCGGCCCCAAGCACCGGAAATCCTGCAACCGCAGCCCCAAGCATTGGAAGTCCAATAACTACTGCCCCCAGCACCGGTAATCCAGCAACTGCGCCCCAAGCACTGGAAATCCAGGAACTGCAGCTCCAAGCACTGGAAATCCAGCAACTGCAGCTCCAAGCACCGAAATCCAGCAACGGCTCTTCCAAGCACTGGAAATCCAGCAACTGCTGCCCCAAGCACTGGAAATCCAGCAACTACTGCCCCCAGCACCGGAAATCCAGCAACTGCTGCCCCAAGCACTGGAAATCCAGCAACTACTGCCCCCAGCACCGGAAATCCAGCACAGCCTCCCCCAGCACCGTATCAGCAACTACTGCCCCAGCACGGAAATCCAGCAACCTGCCCAAGCACCGGAAATCCAGCAACTGCCTCCCCCAGCACCGGCAATCCAGCAACTACTGCTCCCAGCACCGGAAATCCAGCAACTCTGCCCCAAGCACCGGTAATCCAGCAACTACTGCCCCCAGCACCGGAAATCCAGCAACTGCCTCCCCCAGCACCGGAAATCCAGCACTACTGCCCCACCGACACCGATCCACAACGCCAGCCAACAGCGAGCCCCAGCACCGGAAATCCAGCAACTGCTGCCCCAAGCACTGGAAATCCAGCAACTATGCCCCCAGCACCGGAAATCCAGACTGCTGCCCCAAGCACGGAAATCCAGCAACTACGCCCCCAGCACGGAAATCCAGCAACAGCCTCCCCCAGCACCAGTATTCCAGCAACTACTGCCCCCAGCACCGGAAATCCAGCAACTTCTGCCCCAAGCACCGGAAATCCAGCAACTGCCTCCCCCAGCACGGAATCAGCAACTAGTGCCCCAGCACCGGAATCCAGCAACGCTGCCCAAGCACTGGAAATCCAGCAACTACTCCCCCAGCACCGGAAATCCAGCAACTAGTGCCCCCAGCACCGGAAATCCAGCAACTGCTGCCCCAAGCACCGGAAATCCAGCAACTGCGCCCCCAGCACACCGGGAAATCAGCAAACTGCCCCCAACACGGAAATCCAGCAACTACTGCCCCCAGCACCGGTAATCCAGCAACTACTGCTCCCAGCACCGGAAATCCAGCAACTACTGCCCCAAGCACCGGAAATCCAGCAACTGCCGCCCCCAGCACTGGAAATCCAGCAACTGCCTCCCCCAGCACAGGGAACCCAGCTACACCTACTCCAAGTACTGCAAACCCCAACACCTTGAGTCCAACTCCCGCGAGCCCAAGCACGTTTACATCAAGGTCCCAACTAGAGACTGCATTGGGCACGTTGAATAATTGTGACGGGGATTACTCTCCGACTGGACCATATGGTAAGATAAAGGGATCTCCCATTGCCAGTGCTTTTGCTATCTCATCTAAAACATTCTTGCATGTTTGCATTTCAAAGGTGCAATATCAACTTGTGAGTATTGGCGGGATTCCTTGTGGAGGTAATATGATATGCTTTCACTGTTGTCTGACTTCTTCATTTTTACTTGATGGATAGGGGATGTAAGTGGAGTATCAGACTTCTCCGCTGTAAGTTCTGTTGTCGAAACCAATGCAACACCAAGACATCAGATGGAACCCTGTTTTGAAAGCTCACCAGTTGGTTCCCCGAAACCTCAGATCTTTCTAAACTGCAATGCCTTCAATGAAGATATATCTAGTTGGGACACTAGCCAGGTCACAATTTCAGCAAACATGTTCGATGGTGCCTCAATTTTCAATGCTGATGTATCAAGTTGGGATGTCAGTTCTGTCACTGACTTTAGTTCCATGTTCAATGGCGCAACATTCTTCAACCAAAACTTGAATGTGTGGGGCTTCAGAATCTCCAGTACCACCGCACCCACAACAAACATGTTTGTGGGGACTTCATGCCCTACAACCACAGATCCGGACCTCACAGTGAGTCCCAAGGGACCATTTTGCTACCCTTGAATATTGTTCATGAAATTCCAATCCAAAACCTTACATCAAGGTTCATCAAGGTTCATCAAAAAACTACAAACTAGCATGCGTATACAGTATTGTGTAAGCCATAAGTTTTCATTTCATAACAGTTGGGACTTGTAGTGGATGTTGTCAAGGGGACGTGCCTGATAGCTAGAGGATGACAAAGGATAGGCAATGGTGTCAAGGATCGTCTGTCTGTCTTCCATTGAGCTGGATCCTGGAATGGATCCATCCTCTCAGGCTTCTGTCTTTCTCTCTGTTTCAGCTCCATAAAGATCGAGTCTATAGCATTGACAGTCCTAGTAGCATCTATATTACATCTCCACATATAGTTCTTATCAGGTTATGACGCCCTCCCAATCCTCTGCTGAAGCCTCGCTTTGAATTGGCAAACCTCAGTCTTTTCCGCAACCAACACAACAACAAAGATTTCTCAGCTTCTGGATCATCCCCAGAAGATCTGAGCGCATCCTCTTGTTGCTTGTGGCATCCCAGTGCTATTGATTACTCTTGCAAGTATTTGCGTGCACCTGTCTCAGAGCCACAACCACTATTTTGTACAATACACCGTTTCCCTCATGGGACTCGCACATGAGACGGACGTCAGTCGTGCCTCACCATAACCCTAGTCTTCGTAGACAAGGCTAACCGTGCATGATTCACTATCAAATCATAGCCATTCCATTCGAAGAACCTTCAAGAGGCATCCCGTACTCTCAGCCAATCATACCAAATCGCGCTGACAAGCGACGTTCGCCTAAAGCGGCACTGCATGACTAGTAGAATAGAGTAAAGGGTTAGGAGGTGGTGTGTCTCCACGGCCCAAGGGCACCACTCGTGATTGCGAGAATCCCGAGTGGGAACCAAGGCACGGATGAAGCAGTTACGGGGGACTAGGATTTCCCACATGATTGTGCGACATTCGGCCAACCAAGGGAGGGAGAGGTGGGTTAATCTATTCTACGACTGTAGTTCTTGCTTGCAGCTCGGCTGAAGGATGAATTGTGAGCGGAGAAGGAAACAACCTTCTTGCAGGGGACCGTTCAATGGCCATGGCTGATCTTTGCAAGGTAGTGGGCCTTAGTGATTCATGGTTGCTACTTCGATCTTGATTGAGACATGGTTCTCAATAACCGCTCTAGTCATACTAGGTCGTCGATGAAACATTGCTCTAGATATTTAGCTGGCGTGGAGAGCTTCCACGCTACTAGACTTTCCACGCGTTCCGAATTAGGATCGTGGAGTACGTAGATTCCATGCTACAATCTACGCTATCACACTTCCAGGCCTCCCGCGGGAGACTTGCTCAATGAGCTTCACGACGAAGCTCTCTTGTTAATTAATTTTTCATAGCTTTCTAATCTCACTCATAACTTACATTCTATCAAACTCAAAACACTCGAAATATCTTAACACTAGCTTTTAGCGTAATGCATTTTGTTAACAAACACAATAGCTTGCAGCTACCCTCAACCTATTCCTTCACCATGAAGATTGCTCAAGGAAAGCATGCGTTCGCCAACTTTGAGAAACAGTTGCGTGACAAACCCATTTTTCCTCTCGTCGACAATGATGAAGAAGTCGAGATCGATGATTCTTGTGCCACCACCTAGAAACTTCGCACTGTCCCTGCAGACCCAGACAGTGCCAAGTACACCTTCAAGGTAGCCATCATCGATGGTTCCAACACTCCACGCGAGACCATCAAGTGGGCTACGCGTATGGAGAAGGTCTTCATCGGACTCAACCTCACTGGTGCCGATGACAAGCATCGTCTCGTCAAGGAGATGACCTCCAGCTCTGCAAAGAGTGCCTACGAGGCTGGATGTGCTGGCAATCGTGCCATGCGACACAACGCCCTTCGACAAATCCTTGTCTCGCAAGAACCACCACGCGATGTGCACGCGGAAACCGAAGCAGTGCACGCCGCTCATATTCAAGCTGCATGGGACGGTGCAGCAGAGCCCGCACTAAGCGACGCCGACATTGATGTTATCGAACAAGCCTTTCCTTACAAGGCTCTCGAAAAACAGAAGCGCTTCATGCATCGCAAGATGCGCAAGCCAAGCGATATGACAACTCCCGCCTACATTAATGCACTAGGCTAAAAGCTAGTGTAAAGATCTTTCGAGTGTTTTGAGTTTGAGAGAATGAAAGTTATAAGAGAGATTAGAAAGCTATGAAAACTAATCAACGAGAGAGATCTTCGAGGCCATGGATACACTTTACTCTCATGGGCACCCGGCAATCAGGTAGGAGTTGGAATAGCGTAGGTGTTGGTAGGCATCCTACGCAGACCACGGTGTAACTCGGAACACGTGGAAACTCTAGCTCTAGTAATCTACTAGTAGCGTGGAAGTAGTGTTGAGAATCTCCACGCTAGCTAAATATCTATCAGCAAGGCTGCGTCGATACCTAGTGTAACCTAGTATGACTAGGCGGTCATTGAGAACCCTGTCTCAAATGACTATTCACGAGAGACTCAGTCATGAGTCGAACTCAAACCCTATCTAGGATCGAGTCGCGAATAAGGTTAAGAGCCGTGTGGGGCACTCTCTGGAGATTGGATGTAGACATGTGCATCGCACGATGGCAATCCTACAAGGGGATCAGGCCTTGTATGGGTGTATATACCTTATGTTCCAAGTTTGGTAGACTGTGCTGCCATTAGCGATAGCATGTTGGAGCCGTACAGTGCCATTGTCATTGACTCGGTCTATAGAATAAGGACCTTTGTACTTATTGGGCTGACCGTACTTGCAGTGCTGATACTGTTGAATCATCACAGTATTGTTGACATTGTATTGATGAGGGACACGCCTGGCGTTCTCTCTATCATTATTTTGTTGGATAAAGCGTTGGCGACATTCCTTAATGTATTTCCAGTTTGCTTCGAAATGGACATTGTGAATCGCGTCACGATTGAACACAAGCTGTGCAGGCATTGCGCGCAAGGTGGTGTGAATCGTGGCCAAAGCGAACCGCCGTGAGGACTCCATCCCAAGATCCATTCACGAGGTCGTCTTGACACTTGATATTTTGAACAGCTATCAAGTTGCGGATGGTCTGATGAGCACGCTCGACCATAGAGTTGGCTTGAGGGTTACGTATAGTGATGAACTTGCGGCGAAGTCCATATTCATCCCAGAGAAGTCTTCGCTCTTCACTTCTGCGCGGAACTCACATCCTCTATCCATGATAAACTCACATCCTCTATCCATGATACCCTCAGCAGGCCATGGATACCGAGTAAGCCATGTCTGTTCTAGAACGATGGCTACTTCGTCTGCTGCTTTGGAGCAGATCTCTGCAATCTCGAACCATCCGGTTACGGGATCAATCATTGTCAGGTGCACTACGCTAAAAGCTAGTGTAAAGATCTTTCGAGTGTTTTGTGTTTGCTGAGAGAATGAAAGTTATAAGAGAGATTAGAAAGCTATGAAAACTAATCAACGAGAGAGATCACCATCAAAGGATCGTAGATCTGGTCTCCCGCGGGAGACTATAAAGTGTGATAGAGTAGGTTGCGGTAGTAATCCTACGTATCTCCACGATCCTAAAACGGAACGCGTGGAAGATTCATCTAGCATGGATCTAGTAGCGTGGA